TTATCCCATCAATCCCGGCTGCCTTACCCCCTTTCATTTTACCTACTACCTCACGAGCTTCCCCCACACTCACAATTGGCTCTTCCTCACTCCTACAAGATGTTATTCCTCCTTGCCCTATACACGAAATCACAGCTTCCCTATCTTCATCAACATTTAACAATTCCTCAAAATATTCCCTCCATCTTCCCAATACCTCTAACTCTCCATTTAATAACTCTCCTCTCCTATTTTTAACTGTCAAATCCGTGTACTCCTTAGGTTTCCTCAACTTATTAGTCTCGCTTCAAAACTTTTTCTCATTTTCAACAAAATTTGTTGATAACATCTCACCCACTCTCTCATTTTCTCTTTTTACATTGCTTCACTCTCTTAACCTCTCTTTTTTCCTCAATATACTCTTCCCTCCTTGCATCACTTCTACTTCGAAAAAAACCTCTCATATGCTAATTTTTTCTCGCTTACTACTCTCTTTACATCATTATTCCACCAATCACTCTTCTTCCCTCCTGCATCTACTTTCCTGTAACCACAAACTTCTATTGAACACTAACACTACATTCTTAAACCAACCCCATACATCGACCCCATTGCCTATACTCTCACTAGCCCATCTATCCTCTAATAGTTGTTTACATCTTACCTTAACTGCCACCTCTTTTAGTTTAAACACCTTCACCTCTCTCTTACTTGCTGCTTTTAATCTTCCTTGTATCCCATCTACCTTTTACCCTCACTGCAGCTACAACTAGAAACTGATCTGATATATTAGTGGCCCCTCTATAAACATGTACATCCTGAAATCTACTCAACAGTCTTATCTACCAATACATAGTCCAACAAACTGTCATTATGCCCTACATCATATCTTGTATACTTATTTATCCTCTTTTTTTTTTTTTTTAAATATATATTACCTACAATATCTTTATATAAATTGAAGGGGGACAAAAAGAGATTGTAAAAATTATAGAGGAACACGTTTACTGAGTATACTAGGAAAAGTGTACGGTAGGGTTATTACTGAAAGAATTAGAGGCAAGACAGAATGTATGATTGCGGATGAGCAAGGAGGTTTTAGAGTGGGTAGTGGATGTGTAGATCAAGTGTTTACATTGAAGCATATATGTGAATAGTATTTAGATAAAGGTAGGGAAGTTTTTATTGCATTTATGAATTTAGAAAAGGCATATGATAGAGTGGAAAGGGAGCAATGTGGCAGATGTTATGTATATGGAATATGTGGTAAGTTACTAAATGCTGTGAGGAATTTTTATGAGGATAGTGAGGCTCAGGTTAGGGTGTGTAGAAGAGAGGGATGTGTAATGTCACCAAGGTTGTTTAATATATTGATGGGCCACCCTGCCTTGGTGGGAATCAGCCAGTGTGTTAATAAATTAAAAAATAAATAGATGGGGTTGTAAGAAGTAAATGCTAGGGTGTTAGGGAGAGGGGTGGGATTAAATTATGGGGAATCAAACACAAAATAGGAATTGACACAGTTGCTTTTTGCTGCTGATACTTTGCTTATGGGAGATTCTAAAGAAAAACTACTAAGGTTAGTGGATGAGTTTGGGAGTGTGTGTAAAGGCAGAAAGCTGATAGTAAACATAGAAAAGTGAAAGGTGATGAGGGTATCAAATGATTTAGATAAAGAAAAATTGAATATGAAATTGGGGAGGAGTATGGAAGTGAATGTTTTCAGATACTTGGGAGTTGACGTGTCGGCGGATGGATTTATGAAGGATGAGGTTAATCATAGAATTGATGAGGGAAAAAAGGTGAGTGGTGCGTTGAGGTATATGTGGAGACAAAAACGTTATCTATGGAGGCAAAGAAGGGAATGTATGAAAGTATAGTAGTACCAACAATAAATTTGTGTATAGTAGTACCAACACTCTTATATGGGTGTGAAGCTTGGGTTGTGAATGCAGCAGCGAGGAGGCGGTTGGAGGCAGTGGAAATGTCCTGTCTAAGGTCAATGTGTGGTGTAAATATTATGCAGAAAATTCGGAGTGTGGAAATTAGGAGGTGTGGAGTAAAAAAAGTATCAGAGGGCTGAAGAGGGGTTGATGAGGTGGTTTGGTCATTTAGAGAGAATGGATCAAAGTAGAATGACAGAGAGCGTATAAATCTATAGGGGAAGGAAGGCGGGGTAGGGGTCGTCCTCGGAAGGTTGGAAGGAAGGAGTAAGGGAGGTTTTGTGGGCGAGGGGCTTGGACTTCAAGCAGGCATGCATGAGCGTGTTCGATAGAAGTGAATGGAGACGAATGGTATTTGGGACCTGACAATCTGTTGGAGTGTGAGCAGGGTAATATTTAGTGAAGGGATTCAGGGAAACCGGTTATTTTTATATAGCCAGACTTGAGTCCTGGAAATTGGAAGTACAATGCCTGCACTAAAGGAGGGGTTCGGGATATTAGCAGTTTGGAGGGATATGTTGTGTATCTTTATACGTATATGCTTCTGAACTGTTGTGTTCTGAGCACCTCTGCAAAAACAGTGAGGTGAAAGTGTTGAATGATGATGAAAGTATTTTTTTGGGGGGATCCTCTTTCTTTTTGGGTCACCCTGCCTCGGTGGGAGACGGCCGACTTGTTAAAAAAAAAAAGTGTAGATTACCTAGAATAACCCAAAAAAGCCAGAGTAACTTTTTTCCATGTTTGTGAGGCTTATACCATAATACAAACACCCTATATTGTGTACAAGTTGTTTCCACATTGGTACAGTAAAATAAGCACTCCCATTCTCATGTAACATTTTTAGAAGATTTGACATGCTGAGTGAAAGAATACAAAAGGAATAATTTTCTATAGTTAACCCCTAGTAATACTGTGTACATATTTTCTTTGATGCTGACCTATACAAGACTTAATTCTTTCCAACACTTCGACAAAACAATTGGAAAAATATCTCATATTTATGTTAATTTATTCTACTGTGGGGTGTATATCATATTTATATGTTATGTAGCACATTTATTATATAATTTAAAAAAAAAATATCATGGATGGATCAATGAAAATGTTTACAAAGTGGAACCCCGAATATCGGCCGCTCCATTTATCGGGTGAATTGTATTTAGGTCGATTTTTGGGCGGAAATTCTGCTCTGTATTTCAGCTGGTGCCTTGAAAAATCAGCCGTATTGTACGCGTTAGCCCGCCAGGACACTGCACATGGGTGAATCAGTCTCCCTGTATCTCGGTGAATAAGCATATACTCTGCCCATTCATCTAAACATTTCCTTAAAATTCATCAGTTTTTGTTCTTGTTTATTAAGTGTGACTGTGAAATAAGCCACCATGGGCCCAATGGAAGATGTGCAGAGAGGCTGGGAGTGTAGCAGGGAGGCAGGGATTGTAGCAGGCATACAGAGAAGCAACCCCAGAAGGGGCTTTGTTACCTGATGTCATTATGGAGGGGGACTCCCCTTCCAAACAATCAGTGCCTCTCTCCTCCTCCCTGTCTTCCATAAGCCAACAAGTGTCTTCAATAAAGGCATGTAACAGTGATTTAAAAGTTCATTTTATTTATTTTATTTAGTTCTCATTGCTTTGTGTATGTAAAACTATAATTCATCTTTAAAAAACATTTTTTTTTTTTTTAATATTTTTGGGTGTCTGGAATGAAACTTTTGTTTTTACATTAATTCGTATGGAAATATTGCTTCAAATTTAGGCCAACCTTCTGGAATGGATTACGCCCGATATCTGGGGTTCCACCGTATTAACATAATACAGTCTCTCCTCACTAAGCGACATACTCGTTTATCAACGACTCAGACTTACGACAGCCTCTGATCAGTATGCATACCTAATGTATATTAGAGCAGATTTCCTCTACTCTGTTTACTTAAGTATAGATATAATTATCAGAGTATATATAAAATACGAAAACTTCCGAACACTTAAAATTTTGGAAAGTTTCCAAATTTGCTCGTGGCGAATGTTAACAAACCATATTAGTGGAACGCCGTAAAGCGGGGGCATACTGTAACTTACATTACGTATAATAACTGTACTTATGTGTACCTGTGAGATACAGACAGATGGAGACAGACAGCCAAAGTCAATCAGCCAGCCAGCCAGCCAAACATGTATTACACATGGTCCACAATCATTTCTCTTTACTTAGGGCATAGGTTATAGGACATTCTGGCAGGATGACACTACCAGTGGTATCGAAATTGAGAGAATGTTGCACAAGGGTTATTATCGAGGTTTCTGATATTTCCTCAACCACTTGTGGCAACATCCTTCTCAAAGCTACTAAACTCAGGGTCAATATAACTTTCCTCTTAAAAGGGGAGTGTTAATACAACATGGCATCAGTGAATCCCTGGTGTTTGCTACACTGTTTGCTCTAGCTGGTACTCAATTAAACTGGTGCTCCCACGTTACTAAGTGGTCCCAGATATTTTTAATACTGCACACACCGAGTGCTAAGACCCATTCTATACTGACCAGGCATTTCTGGCCAATCGTGCCAAATTTGGAGGAAGGAAAAATAAAACACTGATCTATATTTGGAGCGCTAGCGGTAACAATGTCGATCTAAGTTTTAACAGTTTAAGGGTTAAGGATTAATAAAAGTATCGGCACTGGCCATTTTCAGGGTAACGGTATTAAAAAAAAATCCGACACTTGTTAAAAAATTAATATTACATGTGTACTTAAAAGTATCAATATTAACACACTACCTTATGATTTTAAGAGTTACTCATGCACACACAAACACACTATCAACAAGGGCTTCTAACAGGTAACTAACACAAGTAATGAGTAATGACAATATCACCTCAAACAAATTACATTATTGTATAAATAACCTGTGTTATTTAATACTAATTGTGAAATAAGCATACCCTTATAATTTTAAAAAATTATAGGAGAGGTATCTGTATTGGCCAAAATACTGACATCTCAAAAAAAAAAAAAAAAAAAAAAAAAAAAAAAAAAAAAAAAAAAAAAAAAAAAAAAAAAGACATTTGATACTTACCGCTAATCAAATTGCAGGTCATGAAGGTTTTGGAAAGGTCTTCAGCATATCTACCAAAATAGAAAAAATCATTAATATTAAAAGCACATACAACTGCAGTCTACAATTAGTTTTTCACTTTCAGGCCTTACCCAAGAAATATATCTAAGTAACTCATTAACCCTTTCAGGGTCTAGAGGCCCTCTCCTAAACTTGTTCTCAGGGTTGAAAATTTTGGGGAAAAAATTTATTTTTCTTATGAAATAAGAGAATCTTTTCCCGATCATAATGACACCACATGTATGTAATTTGATGGAAAACTTACAGAATTATGCTCTTGCGAAATTAGCGATCTAGATGATGTTTACACATCGGCGATTTCGCCCACGTTGAGCCCTATTTTCGGTCAATTCCAGTGTACTAGTCAACAAAATTCATAACTATTTCGCTAGAACTCCATTTTTTCTATCGAATGAGTACAAGAAACCACCCATTTACCAATTTCAACTATCCAGTAAAGTGATCAGAAATTGACAATTTTGCCAATTTCAAAATATGCCAATTTCCAAATGGGGTCCAGAATAAGCAAGACAAACATTCCTGGCACTAAAATAACATTTTCTCTGTTCATCAGTCACATTCCCAGGCCTCTGTTACATTTTCTCTCAAAAAAAAAAAAAAAAAAAATACAAGATATACTGTTATGCAGACTACTGCATTAGTGTAGAAATGGTATAAATAATATCAGTGCACTTGTGAAAGAATATTAGACTCACCAGTTGACATGTATTGAACGCGTGGCATGATTTGTTTACTTTTGAATTTTGGCAAAAATCGAACATTTCTGCTACTTTGAGCTCAATTTCAAAATACAGTGAACCCTCAACCAACGATGGCATCGATTAACGATAAATCTGACTAGCGATACATTTTAATGCAAAAATTTTGCCTCGACTAGCGCTTAAAAACCCGACCAGCGCTATTCGTTCCGTACCATACGCGTCCACTTTGGCCTGAGCACACCTCACGTGTCCCTTTGGTGCCAGTGTTTACAAACCAGCCAGCCCCCGCAGTCGCTTCCAAACATACAACTGGAACATTTCATATTATCACAGCCTTTTTAGTGATTGCACCTGCAAAATAAGTCACCATGGGCCCCAAGAAAGCTTCTAGTGTCAACCCTACAGCAAAAAGAGTGAGAATTACTATGGAGATGAAGGAAGAGATCATTGATAAATATGAAAGTGGAGTGCGTATCTCTGAGCTGGTCAGGTTGTATAATAAACCCCAATCACCCATCGCTACTATTGTGGGCAAGAAAACGGCAATCAAGGAAGCTGTTCTTGCCAAAGGTGCAACTATTTTTCGAAACTGAGATCGCAAGTGATAGAAGATGTTGAGAGACTTTTATTGGTGTGGATAAACGAGAAACAGATAGCAGGAGACAGCATCTCTCAACCGATCATATGTGAAAAGGCTAGGAAGTTGCATGACGATTTAATTAGAAAAATGCCAGCAACTAGTGATGCGAGTGAATTTAAGGCCAGCAAAGGTTGGTTTGAGAGATTTAAGAAGCGTAGTGGCATTCATAATGTGATAAGGCATGGTGAGGCTGCCAGTTCGGACCACAAATCAGTTGAAAAATATGTGCAGGACTTCAAGGAGTACATAGACAGTGAAGGACTGAAACCTGAACAAGTGTTTAATTGTGACGAAACAGGCCTGTTTTGGAAGAAAATGCCAAGCAGGACGTACATTACTCAGAAGGAAAAGGCACTCCCAGGACATAAGCCTATGAAAGACAGGCTTACTCTGTTGATGTGTGCCAATGCTAGTGGTGATTGCAAAGTGAAGCCTTTATTGTTGTATCACTCTGAAACTCCCAGAGTGTTCAGGAAAAACAATGTCCTCAAGGCTAATCTGTGTGTGCTGTGGAGGGCAAACAGTAAGGCATGGGTCACTCGGGACTTTTTCTATGACTGGTTACATCATGCATTTGCCCCCAATGTGAAAAATTACCTAATTGAAAAGAAATTAGACCTTAAGTGCCTCCTGGTATTAGACAATGCTCCTGGTCATCCTTCAGACTTGGCAGAGCGACTTTCTAGGGACATGAGCTTCATTAAGGTGAAGTTTTTGCCTCCTAATACCACTCCTCTCCTGCAGCCCATGGACCAGCAGGTTATTTCCAACTTCAAGAAACTGTACACAAAAGCTATGTTTGAAAGGTGCTTTGTAGTGACCTCAGAAACTCAACTGACTCTAAGAGAGTTTTGGAAAGATCATTTTACCATCCTCAATTGTGTAAACATTATAGGCAAGGCTTGGGAGGAAGTGACTAAGAGGACATTGAACTCTGCTTGGAAAAAACTGTGGCCAGAATGTGTAGACAAAAGGGATTTTGAAGGGTTTGAGGCTAACCCTGAGAATCCTATGCCAGTTGAGGAATCCATTGTGGCATTGGGGAAGTCCTTGGGGTTGGAGGTTAGTGGGGAGGATGTGGAAGAGTTAGTCGTGTGTGTATTAAAATTAATATTTCATGTGGTAAAAAATTTTTTTTTTCAATACTTTTGGGTGTCTTGCACGGATTAATTTGATTTCCATTATTTCTTATGGGGAAAATTAACTTGACTAACGATGAGCTCTCAGGAACGGATTAATATCGCTGGTCGAGGGTCCACTGTACTACTTTTCATTGTGAAACCAATCAAAATCATCTCAATTTCTGTAATATGTCTTCCATTCTACAAAATGAGACCAGGAAAACTAGAACACAACCATAAATACTATACGAAAAACAGTGCAAAGTAGCTGTTTGTAAACCAAAAACACTGTCATTTTTTTTTTTCTCATTATGCACTCTGTGCTGCAGGATTTTTTTTATACTGTGCACACTGACCACAGACCCATTCTTTCATATGTAGGCCTACCAGCTTTCTCTCGCTAGTTTGAAGGTGCTAGAATTTACGCATACTAGTACATGATAACCCTGGTGCATTAGACGTGCTAGTACATCGGAAACCCTGAAAGGGTTAATGAAATAAAGCCTCTCCTCACTTACCGACGGAGTTCCGTTTCTAAGACCACATCGGTAAACGAATTTGTCACTAATTGAGGAATCACCCCTCACTAATACAGCAGACAGTTACATTACACGGTAGTTACATTCCTGAAAATGCCACGTTAGGTAAAACCCTGTTAGATAAACTGAAGAACTTATGGGAAAAATAGGGTTACATTTCTGGGAGCCCACAAAAAAAGCCAAACAACTTTTTTTTTTAGACCAACATATCTTACAAAAATAAAAGTGAATATGTAACCGTAGTTCACTGTCGTGATATAATATGTTTTTACCTCTTAAGCCTACAAATTCAGCAGAAATAATAGTATTTCTTACCTTAAATTGTGGGTGCTGGTGTTTTTGGATGATTGTGAAGAGAGTGGAGATGCATGGTTTGGCCCTACTGGGCTGAGGTGTATGGTTGCTGGCAGAAGTGGATGGTAAAGGTTCTGATACTGAAGTCGATGGTTGTATTGGACTGTGCATAAATTCTGTAATGGATCTCTTGGCTCTTTTACCCTGCAGTACATTATACAGCTGACGGTAAGGCATTATCAGCTGGTATAGACCCCGTTTCAAAGCACTGCTTCTAGATTTATCAGGGTCCTCTTCAGTTTAAGTCTGCAACTTTACCAATAATGTGGAACTGCTCACAAACTGCTGCAATGTTAACCGTTTTTCTTCAGGTTCTTCTTCATCTTCTTCTGCTATGTGGCTCCCTCATATCTGTGTATCAAGCTGTGCCAACATTTTCTCTGGACTCCTGTCTCCATCATTCACATCTTCATTCATATCTTCAAAACCATGGCCTGGTAATCTCCTTACCAGCTGAACAATTTCCTGAACCTGACTCTCAAGCTAGGGAAAACCAGCCAAAGAATTAACTACAGAAGGCCATAATTTTCCCCAGCCTGCATTTAATGCTTATTGGGGGCACTTCATTCCATGAACTTCTAGCATAGCTGATGGCATCTGCAATGCTAAATTTATTCCAGAAATTTGGTACTACCAGGTTGGAGTCACAAGTCCAATGATGCAACTAGTTTTTCATAACTTTCTTTGTGTAGTTACACTTGATGTTGTATTTGGAGGCAAAAATATAACTATTTATTACATGTGGGCTCACATCCAACAAAGCTTGTGGATGAGTACAGGAATTACAGTAGACCGTTGTTTAACTTGTAAACAGTCCAAACGTGTATATAGGTTCACTACCTTAGTGCCCAGAATATTTTGAAAAAAAAAAAAAAAAAAAATTTGAAAAAAAAAAAATTGAAAAAAAAAAAAAAAAAAAAAAAAAAAAACATTTTTCAAGAGTTATAGGATAAAAAAATTTAGGGTCAGTATTTACCGAGATATGAGGCTGCAAAGTTAGCACTTGGAGATCACCTGGCGGCAACATGGGGCGCTGCCACTTGCAGAAGTGTTGCCGATATATCTTTTTTTTTCCATTTTTCATATTTTATATAATTTTAATGTTCCTAGGTAGTAGGTTGGTAGACAGCAACCGCCCAGGGAGGTACTACCGTTCTGCCAAGTGAGTGTAAAACTGAAGCCTGTAATTGTTTTACACGATGGTAGGATTGCTAGTGTTTTTTTTTTTTTCTGTCTCATACACATGCAAGATTTCAGGTACGTCTTGCTACTTCTACTTACACTTAGGTCACACTACACATACATGTACAAGCATATATATATACACACCCCTTTGGGTTTTCTTCTATTTTCTTTCTAGTTCTTGTTCTTGTTTATTTCCTCTTACCTCCATGGGGAAGTGGAACAGAATTCTTCCTCCATAAGCCATGCGTGTTGTAAGAGGCGACTAAAATGCCGGGAGCAAGGGGCTAGTAACCCCTTCTCCTGTATATATATTGCTAAATGTAAAAGGAGAAACTTTCGTTTTTCCTTTTGGGCCACCCCGCCTCGGTGGGATACAGCCGGTGTGTTGAAAGAAAGAATTTTTATGTTCTGATAATTACAATTTATAGTAGTTCTTGTCATTTCATAACT